TGCTAGACTATGACTCTAATTCTTGTTATTACAAGCTTGATTTGCTGAAAATAAAGATGTATGGAAAGCAAAGAAAATTATACTCACTTTTGTTATGATGTTGAATTAAATTGACTGATAAAGCTATGAAAGCTCTGAAATGAAGACTGTAGGGAAGTATTAACCTAATGTGCATAAATCTTACTGTAAATCTTCACTGCATTTGACTATTTTTTGAAGGTCAGAAAGATAAATGATCTGGGTCCTGTTACATACCAAATTGATTCTACCTAATTCTTTGTCAAAGAGCTGTACTGTAGACAGGTCAAGACAGTGGTGTCTTTGCCATAGCCTTCTAGGCTAATTAAACATTGTGGCTAGTCATCATTTTTAAGGCAGAACAGTAAGTCAGAGAGTGTAGTCTTCATTTGAGTAAAGCTTCCAGTCACTTCAACCTGAGATTGCTTAAATGAAATTTGCCAAATGTAGCACTTGGGCAAATCAATCTAACAACCACAGAAAAGTTACAGAGCATGTGTGAGCCATCTAGCACAAGAACTAGTATTCTCAACTGCTTAATAGCTTTTTACCACCAAGTAGATATTTTGCAATGCAGACAGATGGGGAGGAACGCTATGACCATGCTGATTAGAATGCAAAGTGCTTGTGTAAAGGCTGACTTTAGTTGAGCCAAGTCTTGTAGTTATGAAGCCTCTGAGCCATTGTTGTTTGCAACAGCTGCAGATCTGAACCATTGTCTCTGTATCTTTCTTGCTACATAATTAAAATTAATTTAACTTGGGAACTTCTATTCACTCTAAGAAAAAAAACCACCAACAGGACACCACTGTCCTAGAGAACAAAAGGGTTCTTCCCCTTACACAAGATTTTCCTAATCAAACACCTCATCTAAAAGAAATATGTGCTGACATTTTGTTTGTGACAGAAGCTGACTGAAAAGTTTTCTCAAGAATGGCAAAGATAGAGACCGTCCAACTGGTAGAAAAAGCAAACACCTGTGCCAGAAAGCTATTGCATGTGTTCTGCTTTCCAGTCTGAGTTCAAAGGACTGTTCAACCCACCATAACATCCTTGCTAAGACAGGAGCTGGATGAAAATCAGGAAGAAGTTTGCCTCTAGTGAAGTTACTTTGAAAGTGTTGAGGAATCTTGAAGCTGAAAATTATGCAGTGGGAAGTACAAAATGTGTTCTTTATAGCAGACTTTACAGCAACTACAGCTGTCTAGTCAGAGAATGAAACAAGTGGGAACCTTTGATCAGAGAAGATGGATGTGCATTGAGAAAAGCCTTGCAATCAAATGCCAGCAAGTTGTATATGATCCTGTGCTGGTTTTGACTGAGGTACCTTCACACTACCTGGCACGGGGCTGTGTTTCAGATTTGTGCTGGGAACCATATTGATAACTCAAGGATGTTTTAGCTGTTGCTGAGCAGGGCTTACACAAAGTGAAGGCCCCACTCTGCTTCTCACCCCACTCTGCCAGCAAGGAGGCTGGGAGTGCACAAGGATTTGGGAGGGGACAGAGCCCAAACAGCTGACCCAACTGACCACAGGGATATCCCACACCATATAACATCATACTCAGCATATAAAGTTTGGAGTGATGGTGTTTGTATTCCCAAGTCATCATTATGGGTTGATGGAGCCCAGCTTTCCTGGGGATGGCTGAACACCTGCCTGTCCGTGGAAAGTGGTGAATGAACCCCTTGCTTTGCTAAGCTTGTATGCACAGCTTTTGCTTTACATATTAAATTGCCTTTCTCTCAATCTATGAGTTGTCTCACTTTTCTGATTCTGTCCCCCATTCCACTGCAGAGGCAAGTGAGTGGCTGTGTGGGGTTGAGCGGCCAGCTGGGCTTAAATCACATCAGACCCTCACCGCTATATTGTATATCCAGCAGCACAAATGAAACTGTCTATTTCCAAAAGACCACACACTTTTGTTCTTCTTCTATTAACTAATAAAAGTGCCATATCTGTGCTGAGTTGTTTATCCCAGCAAATTCCCTGCAAGCAACTGTCAAAAGATCATCTGAATCTCAGCATCAAACAGATAAATACTGAGGCATTGAAGAGGTGGAACTCACAACATCTTCCATACCCATAATGAGTAAATGGAAAAATGAAAGCTTTTTATGTTAGGAAAAATCACTGATGCTGTCTTTAAAACTGAATGAATGGAAGTCAGGGCTGGCCTAGCTAATAAAAGGCAAAAATATATCAAGAATCTGTGGGTTTGCTTTTTATCCTGTTTTTTGTTACATTGAATGTGTGCGCGCTTTAATTGCCTGGTGTTTATCTGAATATACTCATTTCTTATTTGACTATAGATATAGATCTAGTGAAGATTAAAAAAACAAAACGAACCACATTTTTGAACAATTTGCCAGAATCTAGATCACTTTCTTGGTCTAGTTTAGAGAATAGACATACATTTATCTGAGCTATCTGAGCAAAATTCAGAAGGAGGGACTGGCTTGCCTCTGCAGGCATGTGTTGCTAGGCTTGAGAGGAGGTAGGAACTTCTTTAGTCAGTTTTATTACCAGAAAAATCATTGCATCTAACTACTCCTTAGTGTTAAAGCTTACAGCTAATGCAATTAGGTTTCCTTAACCTTCAAGTGAACTTGTCACCAGAACAGAATAAAGACAAAGAGAAGCAATGCAGAAATATAATGGAGCTACTTTTGTTTAAACTGCTGTTCTATCCCCAGGAAGGAATTGAGAAATGGACGTGTATTAATAGCTATGCTGGAAGAACTGGACAAAAGAGAACCTGCCTTTTTAATTATAACACACAGTGGTTTTACAATCCCCAGGTTTTTGTTATTCATGGGTACATTATGCCTTTTCAAGAATGGGACAAATGCAGCTTGTTCTGCTTCTATGCAAAGAGATGACTTGACATTCTTGCTTAGCCATCACTCAAACTAGCAGATTGAGAGCTAAGTTTATTTTTGATACTGAGTTTGCTGAGCCATGAAGAAGTGTCACAGAGGTATTCTAACTTCAGTTCCAATGTTATTTTGGAGAAACTGAATAGTCTGTTTTGGAGATGAATATGTACTGTAAAGGCATTGCTAACTTATCTCTTACAACTAGTATAAGGCTGCAGGTAATTGAGTCAAAGAGTCACTTATTGTACAATCTAATTGATAACATCCTTTCTGCTATTGACTTAATCCTATGAAGAGGAAAGCCCAATAGCAATATTAAGGCTTCAATTCACACTGCACCCTTGGTACCCCCTCAGTGAAATCTAATTGCAATGTTCAAATGTGTGTTCCCTTCACGCAGTAAATGCTCTTTGTGTTGCTGTAGAGTTAACTCCAGCATTGTTTTTAAATGCTTACTAGAACTAATGTAGGAAGAGCAATTATTTTAAATTCCTGACCCATCTCAGCCTGTTTTTCCATGGAAGCAGTCTTGCATGACCAGTCTGGATGGGATTCAACCTACTTAACTTCAGACATTGATAATCTAGATGTTTATGTCTAGGTATCCTTACATACATATCTGCCTTGTAATTGGTTATAATGTCTGAGAAATCAGTCTGCCTAGCAAAGACAAAGCCCCTAACTGTACAAACCAAGAGAAAGGCTACTGCTGAAGTTCCTCCATTTGCAGGCTTCAGAGAAGCCACATAGATGTGATTTGGCAAAAGTCCCAGGTGGGCAGGGGCAACTAGTCCCTTAAACTGGACATCTGTCATGGATATAAATCTTCAGTAAATAACTAAGGTGAGAGTAAGCTTAGCCTTGGAAGCTATAGCTTTACAATATAGATGTCAGCACCTGAACTAATAAACCGAGACACTCCCTTTTTCATGGAAAAAAAAATTCAGGATGCTGATTATGTGACCCATTTTAAATGTCTAAATGAAACTGAGAACAGTACCCTCGGTGTATTCCTGCTCATGCATAATAAAGGATTTTAAGGTGACTAACTTAGTTGCTCATTTGGTATGATGAATTCCCTCAGTATCTTAAAACTAATGTTTACCTCCCCCACGCAAGAACTGGAGAGTGGAAGATACCTTCAAATGATTAGAGAGGAGAATACCATCCACCTAAATAAGTTGCCCTTTGATTAGGTGGCAACCTGAGATGCACTGTCCCACTACTTTCCTAAATTTTAAGAACTACCTTGATCTCTAAGTTAGTCAGACTAGATCTCGCCAAAAGATTCATCAATTCTCCTTAGAAAAGAGAAAAGTATAACAAAAGGATGATTCAGTTTCTGGGCTCTCAGGTTACCTAGATAGTCTTATCTGAAGACAACATTTATTCAAAATCTTACAAAGTATTTACTAGAGATTATGAAAATAAAGATTGAGAAGTGAATGAAAAAACGAAGAGTAGAAGAGAGAGATAAAGCTCATGTAAAAGGATAAATATTTATTACTATTTTCTTCCAGAAAATCCTATGAATATTTGAAAACAAATATTGGATAAATTCCCAGAAAATGCAGAGCAGCTAATCATAGCTTCCAAAAAAATTTTATCGCTATTAACTATTTCTGGCAGACTGTAGTTTGGATGCTTTTCTGTACAAAAATTAAGCCAAGTATTGCAGTATGTCTATAGCAAGGTATTCTCACTTTCCAAATCAAAGGGGTAGATTCATTTCACTCAGCCTAAATCCTTTAAGAATTAACTATCTACATTTCCTATAATTACAGGAAAGAGACAGCAAAATCCAAACTGATGTTCATCCTGGCTATGGAAGGTTGAAGTTTCACAATTTTCTTTTACCAGTCCATGGCTCTTGTGCTGTTATAAACCTACCTAACCAATTTTCACCCCAGCCAAGTCTCTAGTATTGGTAACACTGATCACAAATTGAGTCAAATCAGCTTGATGAACACCAGATATTTTTCTTTTGTAGGAGCAAAGGAAAAGAACAGAGATAGACATCAATGAACTGGTGTTGGATTGCTAGACCCATCGCAGGGAAGACAGCACAGATGCTAGTCTAGGGACACAGGAGGGATCTTGAGACCAGTCATTTCAACAGCACCACGTCATATAGACTTGGGCTGATCATGACACTGCACTCTCAAACCACTGGCCAGAGGAGGGACAAGTTGCTTTCTCCAGTGCCTCTTTCCCTCTACTGACTGCAAAAGGAGTTTAAATTTATGCATTAAACCCACGGAGGTGAAGATTAGTTGGAGAAATTGCATCCAGACTTAATCAAAATGAAGACACCATGAGAGAGACAGCCAGTGCTCTCAGCACATTTCACCAAGGAAGTTCACCTTTCCACAGGGATGGATGAAATGAATGCTCCAAGGAACATTTGTTTACCTGCTATAAAGATTTAGCTTTTCTTTTGTCCTCTTCCATGATGTGAATCTGCAGTGCTTTGCTCAGCAGCAGCATTCAGGGAGGGCATACAGTGATACTCAGCTCTTCAGGTCAACTGCAAATTGACTGCCACTGTCCAGCCTTATACTCATGGATTGGACACACACTAAAATCTTGCAAGTAAAATATGCCCATTTGTTTCTTTTTTTGATCATTATATCCTAATTATATCTAAAATTTCTTTCAGCTATCACTAGTTACAACTACAGAGGAATTTTGGAGCATTAGACTTGGCATGCAGACTGCAGAAATAATGTACTTCCATAAGCTTTAACTGGTCTTCTGTCATGGAAGCAAATCAGATCTGTATTTAGGTCCTTCATAAAAATCTGACAAGGATGACATAGTAATATATGCACATAAAAAATTTATGAAGCACCTTGCTCAAGCCTTTCAGATGGATTCTCACCTCACTTATGCCTGTTTCTCAACTCCACCAACTTGAATTGTTTATAACTTGTGTACACTAGGGTAAGTGAAATCTAAAGGAAAAATATGAAACATTAATTCATCTGGAGGGGGCGAGGAATTGCTGTGATTTTCTACAGTGTTCCACCATTCATAGACTGAATTACAATATCACAAACAACATATTCACTGACTGATAAATAAGATAATCCTATACTGAGAAAAAGGATACTGAGGAAGTGAACAAACTTAAAATAAAAAAGTTTGATTTGATTAGAGGCACAAATTTTGTGTGCACAGAAAGCTGCTGAAATTTTGGCAAATCAGAGTGTTGTGGTGTCTGCTGCCAGTCATGATCAGAACCTGAATGGGGGAGAAAGGAAAGTCGGGGGGGGGAAACTCTGTTCATGTTTGATTTGAGTTTTCTGAAAAAAAAATGTTTATAGACAAAATTGACTAGTAGTTGCAAAGATGCTGGCACCAGATCAAGTAGTAAGCCCCTCAAAAATAGTGAATAAAATAACAAAACTCGTTTCAACTTTCTCCTTGCAGATAAAAGAACAGCAGACATGGATCTGAAGGAGGAGAGAGAGGAGTATACGCGCTCCTGTAAGGCTGCATACATAGCCTTGTGAAATGCCTTTTATAACTTTAACGATTACTGGCTCTCTCCTACCATTTCTGAAGGCTGAGACATTAGTCATCAGCTGAACAATTGCCACTAATAATTCGTTTGGCTGCATTCCAAGTAATAGTGAGCAGTGGGACTGTCATGGAGTTCTATATATGAGAAGACACAGGAATATTTTCCTGATTACTGAGCAGTCCAGAAAATCCCTAAAGATACATATTAAAACCAAAGCAAACCAAAGAAGAGGGGAAATACATGCAATGAAAATTTCCTGAAGAAAGGCCTTTTCCATAGACAGGTCAATATCACTCTTTGCAATAAAGCATGATTAGGTTTCAACAAGTTATTAAATGAGAAATCTTCCAAAGTACATGGTATCTCAGGCCAATATTTTCAAATTTGGCTATGAGCAGACTTTTGAAATCAATTCCAGTCTTTCAGTTTTGAAACTTTCCTTTTTAGTCTACATATAGATTGAGAGATTAACATTTGGACTAAAATCAATGAGAAAAACAAAAAACAGACCACAAATTAAGTTATTTTAATTTATGCTGTTCTAGGATGCAACATAAACTGTTTCATATGAAGATTCAAGTAAAATATGGTCTGAGTCTATTCTGGTTTTATAGTCAAGCTCTTCCTAACACAGAAAACACAGTTCAGAAATATATGGGAAAAAAGGTGAGAGTCACTAAGAACTCAAATAGTTTTCACAAAAGGTCCAATCCTAAGCATTCTCATGTCAATGGGAGACCTTTTTCTCTAACTAGGAGTTGGTTTATTGTCTCAGCTAAGCTATTTCTAACTCTTGTGAGATGTATACCTAAGGAGTCTTTTCACTAGTTGCCTAAGCTTAAGCAGCTCAGTATCAAAACTTTTAAAATTGTAAGTGGGTAAAATGAACTTGACTCAAGATAAGTAATGGTCTTACCAACAGTTCAAGTGACAAAATCAATGTATTTTATAAAATTATAATATAATAATAGTGGCCAGTCTTCACGAACGAAGATTTTGGGAAAGGTCTTTTACCTTTCAAGCCCGCGCAATGGATTTTTTAGGTGAGACACAGCCTGCGCTGAACTGAGCCCACCCTTTAATCCTAAGGTTCATCTGCTGGGGCCAAGCAAGCTTGGACAATGGCAGTGAGGTCCTCAGGACGTAGGTTTGTTTAGAGTGACCTTCTCATAGATGGATGGCCTCACAGGGCTAACAAGCTCCATCTGCCTGGGGGGCCTGGGATTCGAACCTGGGTCGCAGCAGTGAGAGTCCTGCATGCTAACCACTAGGCCACCAGGGGTCCCATAATTAAAAAAAAAGTAAGTAAGGTGATGACACAAGCTTTACTTCAGCCTTTGACCTTAAGGATGAACACTTTTGTTGCTCATACACACCATCACTTAATATCTGGACTGCATCTAGGTCATTCTTGCCAGTTGGAACATTGTGAACCATAAAGTGCTTCACTGAGAAATGAGGGGAGAGTTATTTCTTTTTGAAGGTGCATAAGGAGCAGAGGTGACTTGAATAAGGTCTTCCAGTGTTTGAGTCACAAAGGTCAGACTTGGAAATAGTTTTCTTCTAAGTCTTCATTCTTTCTTTATTCCCTGGGTCTCACTGCTTTACTGTAATGGGAAACCTGTGGGACAAACTTCTGAACTGTAACTCTTAGCACAGAGTGACTATTTTTTCATTGAGCGTAACACTTTCATATGGAAGTGAAAAAGCATGTGCAATTTCTATAACAACATAGTTAGCAACTATAATCTTCAATCTGCAAGAAATGGCAGTCACTTGAAATCATGTCAGTACAATACAGAAATAATTGGGTCATTGCATTTTCCAATTTCTGACACAAAAACATTTAATAAAGGAAGAAAATTCATTTCCATCAAACACACTGCTGCTAATTTCACTCTGAAGACATTCTTCAGTGTTTCAGCCTCAGTGTCATTCCCTCTGCTCTCCTCATCCCACACTAGTGACAACTTGCCAGTACTACTTACCTGCAGCCCAATTTCAGCTTTTCATTTTCTCTAATCTCTCTCTCAGTGGAATAAAGAGTTGTCCAGCAATGTTTTCTGAGAAATTTCATTCATAGACTATAGACATGAAAACACAGATTGTGGTCAATTTTTAAAAATCTCACTTTTGTAGCTCTCTCCAGCTTCATAAGAGAAAAGGGTGTATTTGCTTAAAAGCCGCAGACTTCAAACCTGTATATAGAGAACTTGCCTTTGAAAAGCAGATCCAGACATCAGTGCCTGTATTTGGTTACAAGCCTACCTTTAGGCTGGCTTGCAAACTTCAATGCTTGGTGGAAACACACAGAGATAAAATACATTTTTTCCTTTTTTAACAGAGATTTCTTCTCTTCACAGTTTATAAGTTCTTACAGTTTGCATCATAAAGCACTTTCAAGCACACCCAAGTAAAGTGGGACCTAGGTGATTTCCCATCAAATCTTGCATCTATGAGAGACAAAATATCATTTCTGTCATAACCACATTTTTTGGGGTTTTTTCCTCATATCTAATAAGTTGCTTTGGGATTACAGAAGTAGTCGATGGTAATCTATTACCTGCTGATGTTCCACAACTGAAAAACAGAGAAAATTATCATTACAATATCTCTGGGAAAAAAAAATAAAAGGCACTTGTTAGTTACCAGTTTATATAGAATTTACAGAAAGAGACCAGGATGAAATGTATTCCTAGATAAGCAAGGTGCAACTCTCCGGTAGAGATGAGAGAATAATGCCTTAGGATATAGCCTGTCTTGCTGCACATTCCAATCTCTCTTATTGTTAATGGAATTACATACACTTACTGAAATGCAAAACATCATCTCTCTGCTGGTGTTTAAACAAGGAAATAAAAAGTGTGTTTATTAAAAAGAAAGAGAGATTGTACAGATAAAGTATAGGACTGACATTCCTAAGAGTGTTGTTACAACAGTTGTCTTTTATTACCTTGATGGACAATCAGTGTTGCCAGGATCATGAAGGAGGTAATGCATTCCTTATTAACACTAGTAGTCTAAAGGAAGCCTACACTGTAATGGACAGCTGGGTTAGGATTTTATTTTATAAATAGCAGGAGATATCGGTACATAACTGTGCTGTTAGCTCCCACAAACTCATTAAAAAATTGAATGTTTTTGGTATTTTTCTGAAGTGTCTAGACACATATAAGTATAATGGAATCAAAAACCAATTAGAATATCACCTTTCATTTCAGAAACATAAGGTACTTCAAACTCCTGCAGTGGAAGGTTTGCTGCTTTAAGGTGTTTCAGATTCAGTGGTCACTTGCATGCTTGTTTTTAAATCTCCAGTAAGGCTAAGGATTTATAGTCCGGCGCTGTTATCTGCTGAAGAGATTGAGAGTGAGATTCAACTCACGGATTAAATATAGGTGTCTCCTTATAGGAATCCAAGTGGATGCATTTGAACTCTTGTTCCAATCAATGCAGATCTTGTTAATGTTCTCACAGAAGCAAAGAAATATATTTGGCTGATGAAAAGCAAACTGAATTACTCTTTAAATCCCAGTGACAGTGCTGATTAGGGAGCAAATTTTGCATAAGTGAAGGCCCTCAGTGTATTTGAGATGTCATACAGGACTCTGCCTGGCCTTCCAGCATGTGGGTCACCCCCAAAGTCCTGCATCGTGTCTATTAACACCATAGAATCATAGAACCATAGGATACTTTGGGTTGGGAGGGACCTTCAAATATCATCTAGTCCCTGCCACGGGTAGGGACACTTTTCTCTAGATCAGGTTACTCAAAACCCTGTCATTCTGACCCCAGACACTTCCAATAATGAGACATACACAACTTCCCTGAGCAATCCATTTCAGTGACTCACCATTCTCATCATAATGTATTCCTTATGTCCAATCTGAATCTACTCTCTTTCAGTTTAAAACCATTGCCTCTTATCCTGACCCTAAGGGCCTTCTTAGTGACAGCCTGTCTACATCTTTCTTACAAGTCCCCTTTATAAATTGAAAGGCCATTATAAGGTCTCCTGGGAGCCTTGTCCTCTCCAGGTTATATCACCCCAAGTCTCTCAGTCTCCATAGGAGAGTTGCTCCAGTCCTCTGATTATCTTCATGTCCTTCCTCTGGGACCTCCTCCAAGAGGTCCATGTCCTTTTTTCTACTGGGGGCACCAGAGCAGGATGCAGTACTTCAGGTGGGTTCTCACTAGAGCAGAGTAGAGGGGCAGAATCACCTCCCACAACCTGCTGGTCACACCCCTTTTGATGCAGCCCAGGATATAATTGGCTTGCAACCTGCAACATCTTCAAAACTACCCTTCTGCAGGCAACTCCCTGCCTGCAAATGAGCATCAGAAAGCAGTTATGTGAAAGTCACCTTCTAGATGGTGGTGACGAAACAGAAGCCGATATTTCACTCGAGAGCGCTATTGACCAATACAAGTGTTAGAGACACTGCTCCTTTCTAGATCCTGAGTGAAATCTTAAATTTAGATGTCAAATTATGGGTGAATCTCGTAACCTGTATGTCACTCTTTCCCCAATGCAGTTTGCTCCATTTCATGCTCAACAGCTCCTACAGCCCTACCTACAAGATGAGTCCTCAGCAACTCTTTCCCCCATCAGAAGAGTGCAGCTGCAGAAAGAGGGCAGTGCGATGATCAACAGATGTCACAGAGGATACTAGAGGCTATCACTGAAGGAAGGGGCCCTCCCACGTAAAGAGCTAAAAGTGTGAGACTCATACCCACGATGGCAGAGCAAGTGCAATGGCACTATAGTGATCGGTATAAGCAGTGCAGAGCACACACACAGTTAGCTTGGAAAAAATCCTTCAGATCTACTACTTGGAGTTGGCAGATAGGGCTATTTTATGTAAGAAATGTAAATTCCAAAATCAGCACTGACCAGTTGCTCCCCTAGGGCTGGGTACCAGAGTGCCATGGGGACCTCAGGAACAAGTGTTGTGGGCAAAGCTGGGACCAAAAACAGGGACACCAACAGCCTCTGACACTTTTGGGGAGCAACAAGCTGGGGTCCCGGGCCAGAGCAAGTCAGCAGAGAGGCAAGGCTGAGCACAGACACTCCTGCAGCATTGCTGGAGCTGGGATGAGGCACGGCTGAGCCAAAATGGAGCCCAGGATCCTGGATGGGTGGTCTCAGGTTGAGGCCATGGAGGACAGTAAGGCCTGGAGGTGCCCTAAGGGCCATGCACTGTATCTCAGGAAAAATTTTTAATAAGGCTAAAAGCTTCCTTAGTGAATCCCTTTAGTGTCCTAGGTCTATTACAGAGCTGACTGCAAGCAAGCCAAGACACACACTAATACTGATGTAATGAAATCTGTATGTAGCCACATACGTTTTCCAACCAGCGTGTCTAACATCAACTTCCCTCTTGTGCTACAGCTGAACACTTAGCTACAAGTGAAGTTCTGGTGGTACACCTGGTGTGGCACTGCCTCCCAAAGGCTGAATCATACAAGCATTTTTTAGGTCACAGGAATTATTTTCTTTTCCCTATCCAACTCTAGAAGTGCTGCCTACCCCTTGTCAGAAATCATTGCTCAATCTGACAGTGGAACAGCAACTTAATTCTTCTCAGGCAAACTCAAACAGATTGCTTTAAACAGTTTAAATCTTTGGTTGAAGATTACCTGACTGATTTTGCCTGCAGCAAATTAGGAAACACATGCATGTGTCACTTGGTAGGTCTGTAGCACAGAATCACAGAATATACTGAGTTGAAAGGGGCAATGAAGAAAAGAGATAGACCTAAGGGCCTCCTCAAAGCTACTGAATCAAGAGACGGAAAGTTTGAAGAGGAAAGACTCTTCCTTACAAAAATGAGCTTTTGGCATGAAATGCCATATTAAATGCCAAATAACAGCCAAATTAGAAATTATAACTTTTTCTTTTCTTCCTCTGAGATCAAAAAACCATGCAGAGCGCACACACAGACTTGTCCTTTTTGAGATGTCTAAGATTACTCAGATTTCATTTATATAAAAGGTAGTTCCTCTCTGGGCCCCAGGAAGAATATTCAAAGATGGCAAACATGAGAAAAGGCTACCTCCTGGCTTGGCTCATTAGAAAGCCCATCATTCTGATGTGAATGGGATCTGTTAGACTTAGTTGATGCTCGTGGAAGGGAATATAAACTCTCCTCTTACCTTGACAGCCATTTTCTTCATTTATCTCTTAATTAACTTTTCAGAGCACATCAAGAACAGAAAACAACCCATCTTTCCCTTACACTTCAGAAACAATTCTTTAATATTGCCTGTCAGAGGCTTGAGGTATGTTTGGCACTCTGCAGTGAAGTAAGGAAGAACAGGACAATTACCAGAGAGTATTAGAGATTTGAACTATATAATACTCCTATAAAGAATGCAACTTGAAATATATTGTCATATAAGAAGTGAAAAAGTGAGGGAGACTCTTGGACTTTATGACATTGCTCAGTGCCCAAAATATCTTTTTCATTGCTGTGGGCCCTGCAGTCACAAATCTGCAGTCTGCCTTTCACTGCCAGCTCTGTACCCTCTCACTCAGACTTCCAAAGCAGCATTTTCCAGGTTCTCCAGGGCTGTATTTTTCCCTTTTTGCTCTAATACTATTGCTCTCATGTTGTTATTCTCATGGTCTTGCACCTACAAACCCCGCTAGCGTCATTATAGAAGATTCTTCCTTTTGACATTGGCATGAGAATCCCACCCTCCTTCCCCTCTTTCTCCATCCCTTGGTTACCATGTTTGATTTACATTACAGGAGTCAATAATGCCATTCAGAGGGTCCTTGACAGGCTTGAGAGCTGGGCTAATGCAAACCTCATGAAGTACAACAAAGTGAAGTGCAAGGTCCTACAGCTGGGTCATGGTAATCCCAGGCACACCTACAGGCTGGGCAGAGGAGTGATTGAGAGCAGCCCTGCAGAGAAGGACTTGGGGCTGATGGTTGATGAAAAACCCAACATGAACCAGCAGTGTGTGCTTGCAGCCCAAAAAGCCAACCACATCCTGGGGTGCATCAAAAGGACCGTAGCCAGATTCTCCCCCTCTGCTCTGCTCTTATGAGACCCTACTTGGAATACTGTGTATAGTTCTGGTGCCCCCAATATAAGAAGGACATGGAACTGTTGCAGCAAGTCCAGGGGAGGGCCATGAAGTTGATAAGAGCACTGGAGCACCCTACCTATGAAGACAAGCTGAGAAAGTTGGGGCTGTTCAGCCTGGAGAAGAGCAACCTTTGAGTATCTGAAGGAGATCCACAGGGAAGCCATAGAGGCACTCTTCATAGGAGAAGCAGTAATGGGTACAAATTGAAAGAGGGAAAATTTAGGTTAAATATTAGGAAGAAATTCTTTACTGTGATGATGGCGAAACACTAGAACAGGTTGCCCAGGGAGGCTGTGGATGCTCCAAACCTGGCAGTGTTCAAAGCCAGGTTTGGATAAGGCTTGAGCAATCTGGTCTAGTGCCAGGTGTCCCTGCCCACGCAAGGGGGCTTTGGGACTAGATGATCTTTAAGGTCTATTCCAACCCCTTAACATTCTATGATTCTATGATAATATTGTACTGAGTTTAACAACCAAGAGCAGCACCTTCCCCTCGTAAAAGCATGCTCCTATCACTGCTAATAGCACCATAAACAAGAACAACAAGAGAGGGTTTGAGCAGGTTCTGAAAAGAGAAAATGTAGTTAGCCCAGGAATTTTTTTTTTTCTGGGGCAGACGCTGATGCACTGGAGAGGGCATCTGGAAAGAGTGTTTGACGGGGGACCTTCAACACTTCTTCTGAATGGACCTGGGGAAAGCCTTTCAGCTTTTTCTTTCACTCGTTCTCTTCTTCTCTTTCTATTATTTTCTTCCAAAGTAACTTTCACAACTTCAGTCAATGTATGTTGGTAGGTACAGACCCTGCCAAGAAGTCTTTGAGCATGTGAACCTATCTCAACATCCTTTGTGAAGCAATAACAAAGGTATGTCTCCAGTGTTAGAGATACCATCTTGGTAGGCTTGTGGAGTTTCCAAGTGGAGTATCATGGGGATTAGAGAAAAAGGCAATTAGAAGAGTCAGAGCAGACAAGACAGCCTCAGATCAGGATTCAAGGTTTGGAAGTAAAATCAAGACAATGCAGAAGTTCAGTGAACTATGGGATCATAAACCATTAAGATGATATAGACCTAGGACAAAACTTCCAGCCAGAAGCCTAAAAAAGGCAGTCAGAGAGAGTTTGTGAAAAGCAGCATGAAAATTCTTCAAAGGGTAGAAGCACAGAGATTAGAAATCTTCAGTCTTTGGACAGCTTTTGCGTTTTTAAGAAGCAAAATCATTTTATGAAAGTCTGGAGACGTGGACTGACAGAACCGAAAAAGAAACAAAGGGAGAGTGCTATAATAATCTATATCGCTGTTAGCAAGGCTTCACCAATAGTCAAGACTTCTGCAAGTAGGGAATCAAGAGGATTTGTTTTGTCAACTCTCTAAGATGCAGCTACATTCAGGGAATACAATAAAATATAATTATTAACACATTAACTTATAATTATTAACTTTATTAGCATATTATAATCAAAATAAAACTATTAATTATAAAAGTTTGGTAGGATTCAATGTTTACTTCTGTTGAAAATTATCACATAATCAGTGCTTCAGTGTTGTTCATTATATTTGGTGCATTAGATAACTGAATACAGTCTTACTATTGAGGTTGAATACTCTGAAGAACTGAATGATGCCTGGGGAAATTTGAAAATAATTTCAAAGTTATTTGAAGAGGCCAGGGAGTCAAATTCAAACTGGTTTGAACTTGGCACCACTCAGTTATAAGGCAGTCCCTGTTTCTAGGAGACTTTTTTAATATAAAGCTTGAAATTTCATTTAATTACTGGCTACTGAAGTTAAAAACAGAGAAAATGGAAATTCCTATAGCCACTACGTAAAATCAGAGTGGATTATGATCCAGAAACTCATCACTTAATACCTTGGCAGGTCCTGTGAGGCAATCAGGAAGGAGTGGAGACCAGGAGCTGATGCAGGCGGCCCTTTGGCTCTTCCGCAAGAGGCAATGAGGTCCTGAGTCCACATGGCCCTTTGACAGATTGTCTCATTTTTAAGTGAAACTAGTATTTTAGAGTGAGTCACCACTGTAAGGACAACAGGGAGAAGGCCTCTCACACAGAGATATAGTTTTCCATGTATAGGTTATTTGGCAGTCACAGAGAGTAATCAGTCTAATAGAGACACGAACAAAATGAACATTTTAACATCTGTGTCACTGAAACACATTCTGAGTAAAGGACAGAACATAGAAAGTGTCGTCTGTGTCTGACTACAAAGAAGCAACACATGCTTCACCCTGTACCAAACACAACATAAATACACTTCCATGTCCTGGTCTTTCCTTTCTGCCAATACCACAGTGAAGAGCAAAGGCAGTGACAAAGAGAAGTGCCAGACCTGTACTGTCAGTCCTGGGATAGTCCAAACCTGGGAACTTCATTTGCTAGTGATGTAAATCCTGTGCTACATCCCATCCCAAGGGCTAATTATAGTACCCTAAATCTCCCATGTATATTAGATAATTAGCAAGCAGTGTTCCTCAATGAAATTTGTAATTCCCTTTTGCTTTTCTCTTTAATTAAAACAACTCCTTATCATATTTTCTTGATTTTTCTGATGTGATAACCACACTTCTGCCTTTCAGCAAACAGCAGCAATTCCATAGCTATCTTCGGGAACAAAATGACACAAGCAAAGGAATGAATCTCCCATGTCAGCAGCTGTTCAACTCATTCTACAGACACTGACAGGCAATCTGACATATTTTCTGAGGTCAGCATACATAAATAGCAGCTTATGCTGTTTTTATCCTCTTAAACCCATATCTTGTATGGATTCATTTCCTGCAAATGGGTTTATAAAGCATTTTCAGAGAATGTTTAGAGATGAACATCATAATGGGATTACTGCTTTTTTTGTTTTCAAGTTGTTTTTGTCTCACCATACCACCTGGTTTACTTGGCAGTGTGGGATCATGTCATTATGAACAATACTACTGCCCTTAGAAGACTTTCACGTTTCTGACTGGCTGTCACTTCTGTCCTCAACATAGATAATATGGGCAAAAACTTTTCAAAAGTCTGAGGTTGTTTTGGGAAGTGTTGGTGGAGGATGGATTTTGGGAATATTTAAGTACTGAAATATATTTTTCACAATTCCTTTGCTCATGCTTCATCAAGATTTTACTATGAAATGAACAGGAGCTCATGGCTACAGTCATGTCTTCCCACATGTTCCAGGGCAGGTAGCTGAAGGCAAAGGTCTTAGTCACCAACAAACTATTCAATGGCTTTTCTGCCTGTGTTCAACATCTCTGGGCCCTGGAAAAGTCCTCACTTTTCTGTTAGCTTATCCAAAGATGTCCAAAAATGTGGGCAAGCATGGAAAAAGATATTAAATTTTGATTCTTGTGAGGAAGACTAGATTTCGGTTTACAATACTATTTGGAAGACCTGATCAATAGGAAGTACAAAATTACTTCATTAATTTTTTAACAGAAGACTTACTTAGCTGCAAGCTACTGTGTGTTATTTTTCTTTTTAGACCAAAAATGGGTGAGAAATGTAACCAAGCCATACTATAAGAGGAATTATTCATGCAAAGTCATGGAGAAAATAATATCTTTTGGTCAAAATATTTTTTAAAGAAAAAGAAAGGAACAAAGGCTCACTTTGAGGCTAAAGCAATACGTAAGGAGTCAGAAGATAAAGGTTCATTTCCTGCACCCGATACTTTGTCGCTGCATGACCTTGAAGAGTTCATATGTGGCTCAGAACTGCTCCCATGGAAGCCAGTGACAAGCCTCATAACTTTCAGTGGTAAAATAGTTAATGTGGTAAAACGTGAGACCCTGAAGTAGTTTAGGTGATTAACTTGATCTAGATGTGTGGAGGGACCTCATAAAGCACTTGTGGTTCTTGACTCCATCTTAGGCCAAACTGCACATAGTCTATCTGAATTAATTGCCTCTACTATTTTTCATATATCTACATAAGTTATAAAAACCCCAAATATGCAAGACAATGCATTACAGTGCAGTATAATATGATATGAGAAATAATGTAGTATAGTATCAGCAATTATAATGCAATATGATTTAATTATAATTATGATATTATATATATAATATCCTTACACAACTTAGAGTTAGAAAACAACTTAAAATACATTTATACTACAGAAAATGTGATGAGCAGCAGTCATGCAGAGTAGGTACAAAGGAGAGGTTCTGACTGACCTGTGGGACTCATCGCCCCAGTATGGTGCACTTACTAAAAGTTCAGCAGGACTCTGTTTAGACTCATGGAATGGAAATCCACTGACAGTTGCTAAATTTGTAGTAACTATAACTCACACAAATTCTCCCCTGAACTGCTAAAAATCAGAGGCTTATGGAGTATTTAGGAGAAGCATCATGTTCTTATACTCTACTTGGAAATACAGATTTAGTCATGATCAGAGACAGGATAGATAGCTGCACAGAACCATGTGCAGGTAGTGATTCTACATAGGGACCAACGTGGTCCCTATATTCTTGCAGAGGGAGTCCATAGCTCCAGGATACCATGGAAAATTTCTCAAGGGGAGAGTTGATGCTGTAGGCAAATTTAACGCATAGTCATTTTAATCATGTGAATGATCCCTCTGAAATTAGCCCCTAAATCAATAACATATTTACTACATTACAGAAAGCTCTGAAGCTGCAAGCAAACCTTAATGAGTGGGTGCATTGACAGGCTGCGATGGGATGGGGAAGGATGCATTAGGGAGTTTTGTCTGGGAAGTAGGTGTGAGTGAAGTGCAAGATGACTTTGAATTCCTGCTCACCATTCTGAATAAGAAGTTATTAAAAACTGGCTGCTGAAGCATCTGTGGCCTGGGAAGAGAAAGATCTAGGCTGGATGGCCACCTCTGCAAATGCACAATGATTACCTTTATGCATGCATGGGTGGGTTGAAACACACTGCTAAGGATGTAGTACTCCAGTTTATGCAAAGGAAAATCTTTTAAAGATGACAGGACTTACTGGCATAACTAATCAAACAGAAAGCACCAACTCTCTAGTGATGACAGTTTTCTAGATTGACATTATTTTTTTACTTAATGTTTTTGCCTGAAAATTTCCATCTTAGTCATATTTTCTTTAGAATGCAATCACAGAA